AACATGTAATTTATTTCGAAGTTAAGCCGTGATAAAAGAAGATCAACAATGCATAATGATGCCTACCAACCAGGGAACAGCCAGCCAAAGGTAGCCATTAATATTACCCGCTGTAGAAGCTTATTTTACACAAAACTGTGTAAAATGCGGATCATAAGGTAGCAAATACTCGTTTTTGCAGCAAATACGCACTTTGGTTTTCGCTCAGAAAAGAAACATGTAATTTATTTCGAAGTTAAGTCGTGATAAAAGAAGAGAAACAATGCATAATGATGCCTACCAACCAAGGCACAGCCAGCCAAAGGTAGCCATGAATATTAACCACTGTAGAAGCTTAATTTACACAAAACTGTGTAAAATGCGGATCATCAGGTAGCAAATACTTATGTTTGCAGCAAATACGCACTTGAGTTTTCGATATCTTATTTATTTAAAAGTTATGTCTTGGAGAAAGAAGAAAACCAATGAAAGATGATGTTCACTTTACAAATAACGACTATCCAAGGGAAGACATGGATATAACCTGGTATATATCCTTATTTATCACCAATTTGGAAATATCACGAGATGCAGTTTGCGGAAATTGCGCACTTTTGGCCGGCGTTATAAAACACCGGCTAAAAGGTTTGAAGATTACATATTATAAAGGCTTATAAGTTTTCTGCCATGCAGATAGGAAATGACAATTTCGCTTTGAATGCCTTGATAAATCGTGTATAATTTTGTCTATTAAATTCCTGCCTCGTTAGTACAGAGCAGTCTCGCGCGCGCTTACGCGCTTCACCCATACTCTAGCTAATGATGCCACACATGATGCTAATGAACCTTCCTTTCATAAATTCTTACGATTTTCTACTAAAGGACTTGTAAGGCTCAGTTCTGCCGAAATATTAGGCACACTGACAAAAATGATGCGCGCGTATCTTAAAAGTTTAGTGCATGAAAAAGGTGCACCTGCAAAACAGGTTGTAGCTGGGGGACGCTTGTCAGAGGAAAAATGTTATAGCTTTTACGACAGACTGCAAGGATGATGTATTATCTTAAAGGAAACAGCCACATGTCGCAAGAAAGGCGATTAACTTTCGCAGGACGGCGCGCCGGCGCATATGTCAAAAGCGGCTCAAACATGTTGCTAGGAGAATGTTCCAATACAGAGCTACGCAGGGCTATATAGGGCTCTGTAGAAATCTGTAGGGTATTATACGGCTATGTAAGACCTATGTAGGACTTGAAAAACGCTGCATAGCTGTGCTTCGCCGTACATAGCCATGCATGGCCGTACATAGCAATACATAAACGAACATAGCCGTCCATAGCCCTACAGAGCCGTGCATAGCCATGTATAGTCGTACATAGCCCTACGTAGTCCTACATTACCGTACATAGCAGTACATAACCCTACATAGCTCTACATAGCCGTGCATACCCATACATAGCCGTACGTAGCCTTCCATAACCTTACATAGCCCTACATAGCCGTACATTGCCATAAATAGCCGTACGTAACCCTACATAGCCATGCATTGCCGTACATACCCGTGCATAGCCGTAAATGGCCGTATTTAGCCATGTATAGCCGTACATAACAGTACATAGCCCTGCAATGCCGTGCATAGCCGTCCTTAGCGGCACATAGCCGTGCATAGCCGTATAAAAGCCGTAAATAGCCGTTTATATGCACGGCTATGATGGGTTATGTACGGCTATGTAGAATTATGCACGGCCATGCACGGCTATGTACGGCTATGTACGGCCATGCACCGCTATGTAGGGCTATCCACATAGCCATGTACGGGTATGCAAGGCCATGCACGGCTATGTATAGCTATGTACGGCGATGAAGGGCTATGAACGGCTATGCACGTCTATGTCATGACGTCTATGTACGGTTATGCACGGCTATGTACGGCTACGCACGGCCATGTACGACTATGAAAGGCCCGTATGCAGAGCTATGCACGGCTATGTAGGGGTATGCACGGCTATGTAGGGTTATGTACGGCTATGTGCGGCTATGTAGGTTGCCCTTTTTCATTGCTACTTGCGCGTCCAATTCTTTGATCATCTCCCTACTGCGTTTTTTAAGTAACTTTAGCGCGACCTGCTTGCCTCTCCTTTGCATTTCGTCTGCGCAGATGTCGATAACCCGCACCTAAGTAGCAGGCTTCCTTCGGGTGTAGGTAAGCCGTTAAAAACTTCAAAAGGAGGGAAGAACCTGGTACTCATTCATAAAATCGAGGCGCATTCGCCCACTTTTCTCTTTTTCTTCTCAGTCATTTTCAGAGAAAACATGTTTAGTTTGGAGGCTATAACAATGAGTTCTTTTCGGGCAAGGCAAACCTCTGTATGGTGCCTTTGTAGCCTATGGCTGCGCGCTGAAATTTCACTACTTCATATAACAAATTTTATTATGAATAAACAGAAGTTCACTGGGCCATTGATTTGCATATAACATAATAGTAATAACTAACTCCTAGGTACTACCAATCTAAAATCTGAAGTAGTTTATAACATGTAGTCTTAATTTAAGTGTTTAACGTTTGAGACAAAAAAAAGGAACAACAGTGAAATAATAGCAAAACTTCGTATTTCTGATTGTCATAAGACATTATATTAGCTACTTAAAATTTCCTATTATTAGTCAAACTGAATGTATTTATTAAAGTAATAGCTAAAAATGAGCGCAATAATTTTCAACAGTAAACTATACTATTAACGGCGGTATGTAAACACTGTTTTTTAAGTCTAACTTAACGATTGTTTTACTTGTCTTTTATCTTCATTGCTTTTCATCTTAAGCCTCGTTTTAAAAAGTGCAAAGAAAAACAGCATTCCCAAATAACTGTGAAAACCGAGCACTAAGCACAAATACGAGAACAGTTTTTATTTCCTTTTTGCCTCGTGCTTGCACTTGTTATTGTGTCGCAATTAACACGCGTGCTTATAACGAATCCACAACCGCACAAAGATCCACTATGTGGCATCCTCGGTTGTGTGGGTATGTGTTCTTGCCACTTCATACGTTCATGCTTTTGTCTACTCTTGTTTTAAGACAAGACTCCACAGTTTGCGCCTACACTTTTGCCGGTGTCTCTAGTAAAAACCAGCCTTTACACTGTGTTTACCCTTGCATAGTAAACTCCAGTTGATTTAAATTATTTAACCTCATTAACTTGGACTAAAACTGGCACAAAATGCTCATCTTTACCTAGCGAATTGCAAGGGCTGGTAACGAAAACCTTTTAACAATCCAGAACTTTTTTAATAAGTCCAAACTTTCGACATTGGTTTTAGAGTTAGCATTTGCTGTCAGTGTGAACGCACCTCTAAATGTTACGGCATCATTTTAATCAAGGAAACATTGATGCGACATTTCTAACTCCCTTATTTGTGATTTCAGCGGAAATCAAAAGTCCTCTCCAAAACAACAACTCGATTCTACATAGCTTCTTAAAACAATCATGGTCAACATCAAGCCGGATGGAGGAACTCCCTTCTAAAAGGGACGGGGATGCTCGTCGTCTTGCTTAGGGGTTTATATTGTCGTTGGGTTGTAAATTTAGGTCTCACTTAGGGTGTTTGGGACGGACTATATTTGCCCATACAGGTATCGATTAGGGCTGCGCGTAAAGAAATTTGCGACAAAAAAAATACCGTGACACTGACCACACAGAAATCTAACGTTTAAAAAAGAATATGAGGAAATTTCAGTAAAAAATTTTAAAATTTCATTAGCCACTTTTTGACATTCCAGTAAGCAACTTTCTAGCATTTCACTGGCACAATTGGGACAGGCCTAGCTACACCCTCATTGTTCTCCATTAGGCGTTTAATTTTAATTTCCCGACGAGAATCCCCCTCACGTTTATATGTGAGTCCCCCGGGACATCAAGACCATTAAGTGAAAAATAAGTAAAACTTAGTTAACCGCGGATTGTAAAATCCTATAGGGAGAACATTTATTCTGAGCTTGAACAGTTTATGGCACGGTTTCCTTTTTCTTTTTCCAGCTTCCTTTTTTGAATTCTTGTCTCACTTTATCATTCAACCGCTGCTTAGCTTTCTGGATTTCCTCTTCGTTTTCTGTGCCGGTTATGAGGCCAATCTCCACCGACCTTGGATCACTCACCACCCTCTGCCATACGACCTCTCTTTTTATGTTGTTACACTTCAACATGTCATAAGTTAGGGAGATCAGATACCCTGTTTGTTCATCAGTGAACTTCCTCCAAAAACGAGAATTCTCGGTTGAAGTTGACTCTGCTTGTGATGTCGAAGCAACTTCTGATTGGCATTTTGCCAGGTAATTCGTGATCTTGTCTTCTCTTGTTACTTCATCACAGGGAGGTTCCACATTCTCCATGAACGCGTCTCTTAGGCGGCGAAGCTTCAGAATGACAGCCTTGAAAGAATGAGTTTGGAACAAGCTTGTTTCTTCCAGCTTTTTATTAATATTTTGCGCATCGATGAGCCCCGTTTCGATTTCTTCTTTACAAAGCTTTCTTGGCATCTCAGTCTCATCAGCTGTCCAAAGCGCGGGTGTTTTCATTTCGCCCTTCGTTTCAGGCTCAGATTTTTCTGTCTTTAGCGAAACGAGGTTCTTTACTGCTCGTCGTCCCAAGTCAGTTTTGTTTATTTTGTCGTGGATGCGATAGTAATTTGCCTGCGTTTGTACTTTGTGTTGGGCAAGGGCAGCTAGGTGTTCCTTCTGGTCAGGCAGGTGGACGTGCATCCCAGTGGCAAGGGACTTTCGAATTGTTGTCGCGCAGACCTTTCCCTTGACTTTAACACCTTCTCTTTCAAAGGTTCTCGCGATAGCTGTTGAAACCTGAGACGAAGTCAGGGCAATTCCATGGCTTGAAACAAATACGCACTCTACACTAGAATCTGATAGAACGAACTGACTCCTCACTGTTCTTATGTACATGTCTTTGAGGTGATACAGGTCGTCATAAATCCAAACGACGGCCGGCCCATACACTTTAGCTGTCTTGTGATCTTTATACATTTACCCTGAACCGTGCTGGGTCCTCTTCTGTACCCTGGTAGTGAACAGCCTCATTAAATTCGGCAACAGTCATTTTGGCTGCCACCCCACTTCTGCCACTATTATCAATCAGCATTCGTGTCATTAACCAGTCCCTCACTTCACAGTGCGATTTGTCATTGATAGTCCTCATGATAATTTCACCACGATGTGTGTTTTCAGAGGTTGCCGCCAATTGCTTAACAGCGTTCACGCGCTGATTTCCATGGCAAATCTTGTCAAGGCTTTCACTTGAGAGAATTTTCCGATAATCCTCATCGTACTTCTCTAGTTTCCTCTTTAAGATGTTCTTTTTGTGCAGATGACCATGACGTCATGAGATCTGTGCGAGCGTTAAACAAGTCCAGGGATACTTCCGGTATGGACTTTTCCTCTTGGATTAAGAATTTGTAAAACTGGCGCAGACTCATCAAGTAGGACCTAACAGTTCCTGGTCGGTACTTGTTGACCGCATAGGAAAGCCATGACTTCAAAATGTTTGCTCCAACTTTTCCAGGGGTCAAAAGCGAGTAAATCGCAGGGCCGGATTGTTTTTGTTTATCGTCCTGTGTCGAATTCGCTGTGCAGGTGCGAATAACACTTTTCACTTGAGACTTGTATTGCTGTGCTATTTTAACATTACGATAACCTCCATCTACGTCAATCATGTAGTCGTAAAATTCAGTAATTAAGTTGTCAGTGATAGTGTCAAAGCAACCTTGCTGACTTTCGTTTCCCTTTTCAAGATCTGGTTCACCATCACTTGCTTCCCACTCTTCATCCAAGGCATCATCGTTGTCGCTTTCGTCACTCATTAATATGCTTTCGACTTCATCACCTTCGCTCTCTTCACAGTGCTGAAACCTTCGTCTCAAGTCTTCTGAAGAATCTTCTTCATTCTTAAAACGATAACCTTTAGTTTCTTGAGCAATTATAAACTCTTGAACTTTTTTCTTCCACCGAGGTGACTCAAGTTTATTATCTAGAAATGACTTTCCAGCTACAATTTCCTCCTTTCCGATAACCTCGACCATTTCTATCATCAAATTTTCATAATCAAGAGAATGAATAGAATCTTGAGATTGGTAAGATTCACTCGACTCAGAATCACTTCCCGGAATGTAGTCGCTACCAGATTCACTGTCTGATAAGATGACAATGTCGTTCCGTTGTTCACTTGCATTTTCCCACGCTCGACGTGCAAGATCGTCATATTCTTGATCACTGTCCTTACTAATTGTACCGGCACCTTTATCAACTCGTTCACTGGTCTCACCATCATTTTCGCTTTGACAATCCTCTAGGTAAACGTCATTGCAGTTATCGTCACTTGGCCCAGTAGTTACTTCTAATGGCTTTTGGCTCTCATCTCGTAGTTCTTTATCATCTTCGCTTCCATCATTATTTACTTTAGCTCTACTTGCTTTCACACGTTTTCGGCAATCCTCTTCACCCGATCTCCTATACTCTCCGCTGTCATAATTACTTTCATGCCTTTCATCGTCACTACTCCTCTCTGCTCTCCTCTTGCCCTTCCTCAACTTTCCTCCTTTTTTTTGCTTCTTTAAGTGATCGTCTATGAAGTCTAGAGCGACTCGTGGAGCTTCCTTCAAGGCTTCTCTGTAGCTGGGTGTATCAGGCTTAAGACCATGTAGAGGCGTTTGTAAATGTTCATTGAGCTGGAAAATGGGCGTTTTTTTGCCTTTGCATGGTGATAACGGGCAGAATTTTACCATCCCCTTGGGCTTCTTCTTCTCCCCTGATAAGTAGTCATGTAATTTGCGTTTAAGTTTCTTCATCCCATGGACGTCTTTTTGATGTCTACTGAGATTTATTACACTCTTACCACATTTAGAACATTTTTTTGGATTTCGTTTCTGTTTTTGGTCTTTACTCGTCTCCGGTAACGTGCTTCCACCGTCATCCAAGGCATTGCCGTCTTCCGCAACGTCAGTCATTCTTAAAATGAAAAATTACCATTACAGAAATTCACAACTGTAAATAAAATAAATACCGAATACAGTTGTTATAAGGGTTTTGTTAAAATTGAACTAAGCTTTGGTACAAGCTATTGTTTGCTATTTGAAAATCGACCATGACAGGACGCACAGGTCGTCGACTGCTAGTACCGCAAGTAAGGATGAGGTCTGATACATTGAAAATATACCACAAAATGACGGTAGAAAAACAATAGCTTCAGGTGTCCTGAACGTGACATAATTTGTTTCCATTTTTTTTGTTTAAAAGAAGAGGCAATCAGGTAAATAGAAGAAAACGCAGACTGAATGTGATCCGCAAAAGTCAGTTGAATGTTCTTTGTGATTATATGCCGGCAGCCAGGAAGAGTCTTAAAAAAGTAAATGTCCGGCAGTCAGAAAATTCAGATTTAATCGTTTGAAAATAATCTACCTTCAATTAGAATAACCAAGCGATCGGGAAACTAAACTGTCTTCAGCTGTCTCCGTATCTGAGCGGTTTTGGTTTCCTGGGCATAGAGTAGAGAGAGTAGCAGCGCGTTACTCTCAGGCACCGGCTAAGTACACGGCAATCTTCAAACGATTGGAAAAAATAATTTCGTAAACTTTCTGAATGCCGAGCACTCATTTATTTATTTATTTTTTTAACCCCCTTACCGACTGCCGGGCATACAGCTACAGAATTAAACGATTTCAAACGGGACTCTTCAGCAAAAGCCCCCGTGCTCCCGTGCAAAGACTCAGTTATTTGACTAGCCTGCGTTGCAGCTGGCCCACGCACTTGTCTAAACCATTTGTATAGTCCGTCTGCGAATAAGTGTACAAAAAATTGTTCTAACATCCTGCAGAGTCGCAAGAACATATGTGAGCGTTTTTGATAGGCGGGCTTCTTACTGGTTTCTTATGCGCCTCACGATTGGCCTAATTCTTCAGTGTGTGTGACGGTTGAGCGCAGTGAAATGTCAAGATTCACAGAAGGGAGTTGGCTAGGATCGTTTACAGCAAACAATGAAAGAGCAATTGGAACTTTAAAGCCTTCTTCTGGACAAAAAAAAAAATGCTTTGAGAGAATTCCTTCGAGGCCAGAATTTGCTTGTAAATTGCCCGGACTGGTTTTCCAGCTTCTTCCTTTTTCGTTATCAAATTCCTTGTATGAATTTGTTTTAGGCCATAGCATGAATATTTTTTAGGATTAATTGGCGTGCATGAATTTTTTTTCATTTAATTTTCCCTTGCGCAATTTTTCTTTTGTACTTCGCCTGCTCCCCCCCATAAGTTTTCTAATGGTCTGTCCCTTAGAGCGTCTGCGACGAAGGCAATTATTTGACCAAACATTCAAAGTATGTGCAATTAAATGGTGACAAGTGATACCGTAGAATTCCGATAATAACGGCCCCCGTTATTTTCGGATTTAGCAGGCCAAGGGGGCCGTTACTTTCTGGTAGCCGTTACTTTCGGATGGTTACAAAACGTTTGTAATTCAGCAGGGGTTTTACACAAAGAGGACGCATAACAGACATAAAAAAGGTAATTCAGGTTGCATGCTGGTTACGGTATTCATTATCCATGTAAACAAAATAATAAAACTGTAACAAAAAAGGCCCCGAAATGTTCGTATACTATACGTCGAAAAAATTGTTCGTATTATATGACAACTGTGATGACACATACTGCTTTTATCTGTTTTTACGCGTATTAGTTACTATGTTACCCGTATCCTATGTTTATGAAAATGCAGTACACCACTAAAATAGGAAAACATTGTGTGGCATTTGTTGTAAATTAAATAGGAAAATATGATTCAACCCACTACCTACTTGTATTTGTCACCACATACCGCACCTCTTGAAATGTTACATTAACGGTTCAAAAATTATATATATATTTTTTGAGAGGTCATTTTTTCAGCGGCTGCTATTATCAGGGAGGGGGGGGGGACGTTACTCTCGGGGTTTCATAGCAAGGTAAAAAATTAACGTTACTTTCGGGTAGCCGTTATTTTCGGGCGGACACGTTATTATCGGAATTCTACGGTATCAGGTGATAATTTAACGCGCTTTTATGTCCAAATCCTTATCGAGCCAAAATTAAGAAGTAATTCATCAGTTATACTGTGACATCGAGTAAATTCATGATGAAAAAATATATTTTTCATAGGTGAGATTGCCAGAGATGAGAAAATCGTCAGAATAGAAAAATTTGGTAAGCTGTTTGAATAGGTGTAATGCGTATTTGGTTATTGCGAAAAAAGCAATCAGAATATATTTGATATAAAGGAGAAATACTTTATGCCGTACAAAATACGAAAACAGAAATGTAGGCACTCTACGTGACAGTAAATTGCAAAATTCCAGTTCGCAGTTTGTATACTGTTAACTCTTATAGACGCAATGAATCCGTGAACGTTTGCTAGGAACGGACGATTGATTTATTAACTAACAAAATGATTCAATTTTTCCGTTGAATGTTCCATTTGTAGCTGCTTTTCATGAGTTAAACAGACGCACATTCTATACAAATGGCTTTTAAGCGGTGATTTCAATTGAATCAAGTTGGCTGGCATCAAATATTTTTTGCTCGAAACTGTTGTAAAGCTTTAAAGCTTATATCTGAACATTGACAAGGTGAGTACCAATTAAAAAAAAAAAACAACAACAACATGCCGTATAACTGATTAAGCGTTCCATGGGAGGCCTACACCACAGTCTATATAACTAACTCAGACATTCAAAAATAAAAACATCTTCAGCCATGAAATCTTTTACGGAAGCTTTAAAGAGACATCTTAGTTTGACTTGAAAATCAGTGTTTGTTTTGTTGAAAATCGTAGTTTATTTCCAGACATGTGAATTTGTTTTCGAAAACCGGAGTTTGTTTTTGTAAATTGGAGTTTGTTTTCAACAATCGGAGTTTGAAACTGATCGGAGTTTGTTTTCGAAAATCGGAGTTTTGTTTTGGAAAATCGGAGTATGAAAATCGGAATTTGTTTTCAAAAATGGGAGTTTGTTTTCACAAATCGGAGTTTGAAATTCGGATTCTGTTTTTGAAAATCGAAGTTTGCTTTCGAAAGAAAACTCCGATTTTTAAACTCCAATTATTGAAAACAAACTTCGATTTTCAAACTCCGATTTTTGAAAACAAACTCCGATTTTCAAACTCCAGTGTTCGAAAACAAACTCCGATTTTCAAACTCCAGTGTTCGAAAACAAACTCAGATTTTCAAGTTCCGATTTTCAAGAAAAAAAACACCGATTTTCAAGTGAAACTCATGTATGCCTTTAAAGCTTCCGTAGAATAAAACAAGATGTAGTTTGAATTATCTACTCATTGATGAATTAAATCGGATTGTACGGTAAAATAAACATTTTTTTTATCCTCACCTGCTCAGTTCTCCAACTACTTTCGCATCACTGTAGTGCACAATCGTACACGTGGGGAGCCATACACAGGGCAGCCATGTTAAAGACTACTACGCATGGTTTTAAAGGAAAGATCGCTAGCCAAACAAACCGATGAAAGGTTTGGACTTTGGGGCTGGGTGGGTGGGGTTCGTCTGACCAGGTGACTGGTTGTTTCTTATCAGACTCTAGCCAATATTTCAGAGAATGTAATGTAATATAATAAATTAGCAACTGAGTTTGCCATCTGTTGGCGTAGCTTTTTTAAAAGTTGATAGCTTCTAAAGAAGCCGTTATTTTTTCCCCTTTAAGAATCAACTTAGTTTCAGACAATTATTTATTCCTTGTTAAGTTCTGCTATAACTATATAATATTTTACACGGGTTGCATATTTAAAACAGCTTTCAAAACATGAAAATTTCATCAAGCGTTGTTTCCACACAAACCACTAGAAATCTCTATGCTGAACCATGTTTTGTCCCTACGTAAGCCTTGAACTATCTACGTACTTTAAAATTATAGTTTGCAACGGTAGCTATTAATATGAAGTCGCATAGCAGTACTAAAGTAGCTCTTATTTGCTGCAAAGTCCTTTGTTTTGAAGCTAAAACCAACCGTACGTATTTGCTACCGTAGCAAATACTCACTTATGTAGCAAATACCTACCCGTAAGTATTTGCTACCGTAGCAAATACTCACTTATGTAGCAAATACCTACCAGTAAGTATTTGTATCCTTGAAACCAAAGAGAATTCGAACCTTAAAATATGTATTTAGTATTTAGGACACCATTCTAACACTTGATCGAAAACGATTTCTTATAACATAAGAAAGCGAATATTAACGTTAAAAGCCGACGTTTCGGTTTCATTTTGCCTTGAGAATGGTGTCATGATGATACCGAAACGTTGGCTTTTAGCTTTAATATTCGCTTGCTTACATTCTAAGACTACATGCCAAAAATCAGCCAAATCGACGAGGTACCGTATCAGGCCGAAGTTTGAATATTAGAGAAAATCGCTCTTAAAGCTACTGTTTTTTCAAGTTTACTCTTGTATCACTTTCAGTGTGACAGCAAAATTGGCTCGCATTTCACGCAAAGGTTTCATGTACATGATACTGCCCTTGATGATTGCGCTGCGTTCTAACTTAACAGTTTTCATACTCGTTGGTTTCTGCCTTACAATTTACATAAATTGGATATTCTTGTTTTGCTAATCCCCTTTGATTCTCGCCAGAGGGAAATGTAGCTGTAGCTTGTCTGCGTGCCTCGCAATTTCGTCCGCCACTTTTTGTGTTGTATTCAAACGACGGTGAAGATGTTATGATTTTGTCAGGATTTGAGTAAACTGGGGGTTGCCTTGTTCTTCCGTCTGCTTCTCTGTCGTATTGACTAACACTATGTGTCTGGATCTGTAAATTTTCGCGTACCATTCTCCGTTGTTCCATTCCATCTGTTTCTAACACAACATCAGTATAATCTCTGCAGACCATTTCTGTTGTTGCGGACGAATTCTGGGTTCTTTCGTCGTTAGAATCGACAGTGGAACGATTTTGGGAGGTTTTTGATGTTCGCTTCTTTTTACTCTGACAAAGAATTGTAGCTAAAAGGATCACGAAGCCTCCTCCTGCGGCTGCACCGTACAGGAAATACTTCCAAAAACTTGTGAAGAAGTCTTCCATCTTTGTTCCTTGTTTCTCTTCACCTACACATGTAAAAATAACATTATACTACAGTAGTTGTTAACCGACGGCCACCTAATTGATTGAAAAATGTATCCCCATCGTGATACAACAGGGGCGGATCTAGGGGGAGGGTGCAGGGGGTGCCCCCCCCTGACATGACCTGCGGTTTTCGAATACAACTGGTATTCTTCAAAAAAAAAAAACTATGTGGTTTATTGGTGTTGAAGTCGAGCAAGAGACGAGTGCAACCTCTCCTAAAAAAAATCCTGGATCCGCCCCTGTACAATTCAGTAATTGTACCCGCTTGAAAAACACAAAGAGTGATCCAAGCACGGTGCAAGGCAGCGTGAAAGACAGCGGGAAAAACATTACCATTTTTCACTCTTTTGAGTGAACACAACGACACAAACCTGAAGCGTTGAGCTAAAAAGTAAAGAATTGTCAACGTTATCTAAGAAGAGACACAACAGGTGGTAAGGAGAAAAGCTGCAGATACAATAAGAGTATTTTGTGACGCGATCATTCAGCAGTTTTGTGTTCTTATAAAGCTTTGTAGGTATCAAAATTGTTTTCATGGATGCTACTAGAACGGGGAACAAGAAAATGAAAAATGGGAACAAAACCTTGAAACAGACTTGAACCCAAGCCCTATCAGTAATCAATTCTGTCCCTGTTGTTCCTGCGGATGGGGCTGTTGTAGCGGCCGTTGACCCTCCAGTTGTCGCGCCTCCGGCTCCAGCCGACGCTGCCGGTGACAACAACGCACAGAACGCTAACGACAACGTGGTTCCTGCGCCCCAACCTGCGGCTCAGGAGGTTGGTGTTTTCTCTTGTCCTTGTATTCGTTTCCTGGGCGCGTTTTTCGGGCTAGGCGTTGTTGGTCTTTTAGCTTGGTTCTCGCTTCGTTTGTGCTAATAGTTTAGTTTTCGCATCTGTGTACAAGTTTACAGTTTTCGCGTCTGGATTACTATTTTATTTTCGCGTTTGTGTTACAACTTTAGTTTTGGTGTCTGTGTGCAAATTTAGTTTTCGCGTCTGTGTTACCAATTTAGTTTTCTCATCTTTGTTTCAACTTAGTTTCCGTCCGTGTGACAACTTAAGGTTTCCCTCTGTGTGGCAAGTCTGTGTGACATATTTAATTTTCGCGTCTGTGTGACAAATTTTGTTTTCCGTCTGTGTGACAAGTCTGTGTGACATATTTAATTTTCGCGTCTGTGTGACAAATTTAGTTTTCCGTCTGTGTGACAAGTCTGTGTGACAAATTTAGTTTTCGCGTCTGTGCGACAAGTCTGTGTGACATATTTAATTTTCGCGTCTGTGTGACAAATTTAGTTTTCTGTCTGTGTGACAAGTCTGTGTGACAACTTTAGTTTTCCGTCTGTGTGACAAGTCTGTGTGACAAGTTTAGTTTGCGCGTCTGTGTGACATATTTAATTTTCGCGTCTGTGTGACAAATTTAGTTTTCCGTCTGTGTGACAAGTCTGTGTGACAGATTTAGTTTTCGCGTCTGTGTGACAAGTCTGTGTGACATATTTAATTTTCGCGTCTGTGTGACAACTTTAGTTTTCCGTCTGTGTGACAAGTCTGTGTGACAAGTTTAGTTTGCGCGTCTGTGTGACAAGTTTAGTTTTCCGTCTGTGTTACAAGTTTGGGTTTCGTGTCTGTGTGACAGCCTTAGTTTTCGCGTCTGTGTGACAACTTTAGTTTTCCGTCTGGGTGACAAGTTTAGTTCTCGCGTCTGTGTGACAAATTTAGTTCCCGCGTCTGTGTCAACTTTGGTTTCCCGTCCGTGCGACAAGTCTGTGTGACAAGTTTAGTTTTTCCCGTCTGTGTTACAATTCTGTTACAAATTTAGTTTTCCCGTCAGTGTGACAAGTTTAGTTTTCGCCTCTGTGTACAAAATTTTGTTCTCTCCTCTGTGTTACAAACTTAGTTTTCTCGTCTGTGTGTCAGATTTAGTTTTCTTGTCTGTGTGACGAATTTAGTTTTCTCGTCTGTGTGACAAATGTGATGCATCCAGCTGTGTGCCGATGTCCTATCAGGGTCTGTGTGACCAATTTACTTTTCATTTTCGCGTGATTTATGATCGGTACTCTCTCTTAAGATTTGATTTATGTGACGAGTGACGTGACGTGACGAGTCAATGTGACAAGTCTGTGTGACAAATGTTATGAACACGTCCTTGAGCCGGTTTTGTCCTGTCGTGGTCTGTGCGACCAATTTACTTTCCATTCTGGCGTGTTTATGACTCATATTCTTCTTGGCACTCCGTATGGAGATTTGATTTGTGTCTGCATGTGTGACGATTCTTTGTACTGTGTGATCTGTTATCGATTTTTACTCTGTGATCTGCGGCTATGTAATGTTATGAATGCATCATTGGTCATCACGTTAGAGTGCCTTGTGCTTGGTCGAGTTGTTAGCAAATGGTCCGTGTCACTTGTTCCTCGGGTTATCCTTCCTTAAGTCAACCGCTGGTAGGCCTTCGATGGGGTTTTCTTATACCCTTAATTGCTCTGTCCCTGGACGGGGTATTTCGGGGCTGCTTCGCGGTTGACTTTTCCCTTTCCTACCATTTCGTTGGTTAGTGTTGCCCTTTAGTTTTTTCATTTGTAAGCCTCGCCCTGTTACAATGCTCGTTACGATTTCCTCCCAGTTCAGATATCGCTTTATACTATCCGATGGAGCAATCGAGAAGGGGAAAGGTCTCGCGTTGTAGTCCCTCTCAGTCCGCCTTCCATAGCGATCACGGTGAATTTACGATCTTTACGCCAGTTTTCCCGTGAGGTTATTTTACTTGTCTCTCCGTTTTTTAGTATCGTGCTAGGACTGTCAAGAGTTGTCAATAATAAACCTTTTCTTTTGAGTTTTGGGGAGAGTTACGTGTTTCTGGTTTATTGTGGTAGTTTGCCCCAGCTTTCGGGAGGAGCAGCCGTAGGGCTCGCTTCTTCCCATATCTTATCCTTGCCTGGGGCGTTTGGTAGTGAGGGCTCCCAGTGGGAATTTATTACTATTGTGTTATTTTTTTTTTCTTTTTCCCGATCCCTCGGTTCGTTCGCTGTTCCTCCTTTTATTAACACCCTTGTTTTAATTTAATCTTTATTGCGCCACTTTTTAAACGAGAAGGAAACCCGGTCGAGTTAACTCTTGCAAAGACTTCTGGGACTATTATTAGGGACAGGAAAAAAAATTGGTCAGCAGGCTTAAACTGACCGGCGCTTCTCCAGTAACGATACCAGAAACAATTCAGCCAGACACATTTTGGCCCCAGTTACCCTCTTGCTTCTAAAGTGACGAATTCTTTGTCGCTGTTGAAGTGAACGTCTAGGAATGTCACAAAACATTAGCGTCGGCTATTTAAACGAAGTCTAACTTATACCGCGGTTTAGGAAATCTCTGGATCTCCAGATTTTTTCTTAGTGGGTCATTTTAAGAAGACAAATGCTTTTATAGTCTCGGCGATATGTTTTCATGAAACTATTCACAATAAATGGCGTTTGCATAAAAGCGTTCGCAAACTGAAAATGGCTTAGGACGGGGTTTTATTAAACACTGGCTAAACTTCAATTAAATAACTGGCCCTGAATGTCATATCCTTCAGGAAACCATTTAGGTTTATTTTCCCTTTAGTCCGGATGATTCTGAGATGAAGTGGCAGCAACATCAGGAGTTTCGGGAAAACAAAAGTGTTTCTACCCGATCTGACGTTAAGTGTATAATAATCAGATCCCTGATGCACTCGATATTTCATTGTAAGTTAATATAGCGATGATTCTTATGCAAATAACACTGATTTGTAGAAAAAGGTTTTTCACTAAGCTTAATTTTAAAAGCAAGAGTTTTTGGAACTTGGAAATGGCCTACCGTGTACATGTTGTTTTCAGCTTAAAATCTTTGTCATATTTTTGAAAAACTCTGTAATGGCGTATTTGGTTGAGTCAGACTTGCGGAGACCATATATGCTTAAACATAAATTCTGTTTTTATCCAGTTTTTTCATTATTCTTTTGTACATAATTTTCTGTGTAGTATTACTGAACCATGGATGGACAGAAAACTCCTCGTCATTTAACTTATTGTAGTTACAAGAGTTATTTTGAGTCCATAAGGTATAATTTCTGTTAGAATGTGTCATAGGCTTAGTAATTTGCTTTGAGATTTCTTTAGCAAAGGCCAAACCGTGTTATGCTGGAAAATAAGGTTATGGACAAAAAAGTGGATCACTTTTACCCGTTTTTTCGCACTCGCGAGGTTCTGTGTTTACAAAACCGCTCCCGTATGCGTGGATAATTCCTTTCACAATGTTGAATTATTCGGTGATTGACGTTAATCGTCCAACAATGAAGAAAAAAAAATGAACATCATCTATTAAAATTTGTTAGCTTGTTTTAAAAGATTGGCCAGAAGCTTAAAGCCAGTCAAGTTAAATGCTTTTTGGTTATAAACTTGGCCAGTTAACAGAAAATAACAAAGCTCTACTTTTCTTGTCAGGTAAGAAAAACAATTACAACTTTTAACGCTTCCATTTAAGCCATTACGCTGTTGTTTGCGATGTGGTAAACTTGCTAATTGCCATGTTTAAAAATTCTGCAACGATCTAACTTTCGCGCATTTACATTACATGCAAGTTTTCACGCATGATTTGATCCGTCAATCAAATCGTACTTTTTAATGGTTTCCTTTCTGATTTTAAAGAGATCACTCGGTATGTATATATTAAAACAGAGATTCTTTTCAATCTCGGTGAATAGTGGCTTTAGAAATACTTATCTCGGCGCTTCCCGGCTTGGTAAATATTTAGCGATTATTCACCTTGATTTCAAAGAATAATAGACCTTTTTACCGATACGGCGCCCATATTGAATTACTTAGATTTAAGGAGTATTATGAGATGTCCAGGGGGCATGAGCACCACCTAATATACTCGCTCAGTATTTACGCGCGCTCTTCGGGCCAATTTTGCTTTAAGTTTTCCTAGAAGAAGATTGCAATGGGAAAAAAGATCGTTGTGCCGTGTTTGGATGTAGTAATGACCGCCTTTTCCCCGAGAAATATACAGTGAAGTCCTCTTTTGGCCCAAAAAGCGCGCGTAAATACGTAGCGAGTGCCCTCTGGGCATCCCATAATATTCCTTAAATCTAATAAATTCAATATGGCCGCCGTATCGGTAAGAAGGTCTATTGTTAAGCGTTGCTTACCTTGCAACTTGTTTTTCTCACACTCCACACGTATTAGAATTTTTTGTTCTGAGATCTGAAGATTGTTACTTGAATTCTTGCCTCTGATACATCGCCAGGCCCCATTCGCGTTAAAACCAGGAGCACACAACCCCAAATTACGTAGTTCAATGACGGAGACTTTTGTACAGTTGACATCTAAATGTAAATATAATTGTAGAATTCATTGATTTGTTTAACTAAATTATGACCAATCATTAGGAAGCGTTTAAGTCACATGTACACCTGTATAAACTCCAATACAAGTCAACTGGGTTGATGAATAGGTCATTTCCGAGTTGCATAAAACCTCTGTTTCATAGCGGGGCTAAGTGCAAAGCCATTGGTATGAACATGATTTTCTACTCACATGTAAATAAAATTCATTTTCGCAAGCAAAGTTTTAAACTTGGCCTTGTTTTGAAGGTGGAAGTCTTTAGAACTCGGAAATAGCCCACTATTGAACAGAAGAGTTTAGTTTTAAAACAACCTCCTGCACAGCCAGTCTACTGGCAAACTCAGAAGACCGTGAGCATCTGAAAAATTTCAGGAACGTTTATTGTATACTGGCCAATTAAAACAAAGTTCAGGATGCGCAATCAAACCTCAAAACCACAAACTAATTATCGTTAATGTTTGCGGTTTGGTTATCTCGCACTTTATTGGCTAATTTCTCGCAACACAATAACATTCCGTAAATATTTCTGATGTTCACGGTTTTGCGAGTTTCACGAGTTTCATAGTAATAGTATCCAGATATTTTTTTCTTTCGCAAGACCCATAGGTAAACAGAAAAGTTCAGGTCGGGGCTAGGGTCAGTTGATTACTTTCTTCCAGATACGTGAAATTGGATAAGTTCAATTTACAATTGCACTTTTTCCTAGGCGAGTTTTAATTTGTAGTGTCAAAGGCAACATCAGGCTTTTTTATTTAGTTTATACTAGTTAATTTGAATATGTATACAGTCAGTGAAATGTCCCCTGGGAAGAGCTGGGGAGGAAGACATTTTCTATTTGCATCATTTACTAAACGTGAAGTTTAGATGGTTCTATATTCCCAGGTAAACTTTTTTGGTGTTATTTTGAGACCGAGACGAGGTTGTCGTCAGAAAAAAAAACGCAATAAAGGCAAAAACGGGTCCATATATGTGTTATTTGATCGACCAGTCTTGAGGTCAACTGACTGGATAATGGCCTAGATCTTTTGTTATCCATAAAAAAGAACGCCCAAAAAGAAGAACGAGGCCACTATTTAGTTAACACATGATTCGCTTCATCTCTTCCGTTCGAGGAACCAGCCATGTTCTAAAACAGTTTTACGAGACCATACATCAACACAGTGCGTTTGACTTTCTGTTAAAGTATTGGCTTTCCTTCCTAAAGAAGACTAACATCCGCAATTCGCACCCCGGGTAAGACGACGAGCATTCCCTTCCTTTTTATGTGCGATTCCCTCCTAGCCACTGGATTCTGCATTACGTTTATTAACTGGTATAATTTGTTAGTGTATTATTGTTCCCATTCTCTTAAATATAGTTATTACCTTAAAATTACAGTTGTCCACGTTTTATTGATACGAACCAAGAGCCACAACGTACAAACGGAACAATACCAAAATGCGTTAAGCTGGCGGTAACAACTTGGGGAACCTTTTTTTAGCTAGGAGGTGGCCAGCCCTTGTTTCCGTCTTTCCTTTTCCGACCACCAACGCACTCATCATGGGTGCTTACCATTTGACAGAAAATTTCGGAAATTCCGGACGGATGATAAATGGTAAGGTCACTTTTCGGAAATTCCAGCCAAAAATTGACGAGTATGTTTACCAATTTATCGGTTCCAGACGCATTCGCCCCCTTTTTGGATTTAAACCGTAACGGATGTGGCAATTCTGCGGTAAACTGGTAAATCGCTTACCACTATGCTTTCGACACCCCAACCAGATTTTTTCTGTCAAAATGGTAAGCAATCCATATTTTCTTCCCATTACTTTGGGACTTCATTGTTCGCTAGTATCGCTAGTGGACAATAGAAAGGAAGACTTTCTGTCCGCTGAAAGAGCGCAAAGAGTGTCATTTTTCATTCAAAATGTTGTAATGTTTTGGCTCAAATTACCCAGCCAGCTAGCGTTGACCACATTTGGAAGACGTTTGCGACATCCCGTAAAAATGACACCAAAGGCGCGTAATATAGAAACTACGTGAAGGCACGGCAACTGAAAAGCCTGGGTACTACGCTGGCGGAATATTTCACACGTTTTGCAAAGAAGAATATGATGAAATCCTGCTTTAAAACATTGCAAGAAGAACAAAAATTCAACTCGATGGATGACTGTTGCTATTTGAAGAATATCTGCTGACTAAAATTAAATCTTTTTAAATGCCCAAGAACAGACAAATGAAGTTTTCGCACGATCTATGATCTGAATTATTATGGAGATCGAGAAGGGTGTTATCCATTGAACTGATAACATTTTATTATTTATTTATTTGTTTATTTTCTAATTAAAGCATTTCTTACGTTTACATACAAAATATAAATTAAGAAAGAGAAAGACACACACACACACTTATATAGCACAAATAGAAGAATACAAAGCTAAACAAAGCTGTTACAGCAATACCGTTAGTATGTAAATTACAATGACAGCGCTTTAAACTAATGATTGAAATTAATCATAACATCACTTATTCGTGAAAACGCTTATTAAGTTTTCCCCTTTTCTAAAATTATTGTTTAATTTGTCTCTTTTCCTAGCAATATGGAGTTCGATGTTGTAAATACGCCTTGTCCTGGCTATAAAACCTTGAAGAGAAGGTATACCATTCTGGTATTTCCGAGAGTAAATATAAAACTTACCCAGAAGCAAAATATGGTTAAACAGGAGAAAATCTTCTGCAATATCGAACTTACCAAAAATGACATCGTCCTCTTTAAGGTTATGAACAGAGATGTTATAATCGCGCAACCAGGACAAGACATGTTTCCAAAAACTAGATGATACTGTACAGGAAAAGAGTAAGTGCTCTACGGATTCAACCTCTGTTTGGCAGAAAGCACAGGATGGGGACTCAGCCATGCCGAAACGAAACAGTTTTTCGTTTGTAAAGACAATACGGTTTAAAATTTTAAACTGAAATTCTCTAAGTTTAGATTCTAATGTCGTGCGAAAAGAAAGCGAAAAACACTTTTCCAATCAATATCAATGTTTGAATACTTTGCAGCTAACTTTACTTTAGCAGTAGGCGTTGTTTGTTTTTTCTCCAGGAAAAGCCGGTAGATTTGCTTTGAGGAAGCATCAAGAATTGGAACCAAATTGTTACTTATTAGAATAGCAGGTGAATCCGGAAGTGGATCAATCACCGGTGCAGTAGTTGCCCTTTTGGTTGTCAAGCGCCAACTGGCAGGCATAGAGTTAATAAGACCCATAATGAAGAAACCTTGCTCAGGATTGAGATTTTCTTTAGCTGAAAATAAATCGCAAATTTTTAAAAACCCTAAATCTGCAATATCTCTACGATACACAGATTTCTTATTAATGCAGAGAAGCTTGTTACTCCAAATAACTTCATTTGCAATTTCATGTAGCAAGCTGGGCGTTTTTGCATTTACTTCTGACCACGCATCGAGACATTGCTTGTAGAAACTTGGTAGATAAATACTTAATTTAGAAGTATCAAAGTTACAATGCAATATGAGCTTCCCACCAACGGGGATAAGAATCTCGTTTAAAAAAGCTTTCCACGGACTTTTATAGTGTTCCAAATATATTTTTTAACATATCACTCGTCCACTCGTCTAGTACGAACCACAGAATCAATATCGAGCATATTTAAGCCACCCTTCTCAACTTCCGATATCATCACATTTCGTTTTACTTTATCTTTCCCATTCCAAATAAAATAGTATAAAAGCTAGTAGGCCTCTTTGATAAGGTCTTTAGAAATTGGCAACACCGACACTCTAAACATAAGCTTGGTGATGGCAAAGGTTTTTATAATTTGTATTCTACCTAAGAGAGAAAGACCACGCCATTTCCACAAATTGATTGTCTTCTTAAGTGATTTCAAAGTATTCCCAACATTCAATTCATCTCTTTGTTTAGCGTCATAGCCAAAGTAAACGCCAAGAATTTTAATACTGTTACAAAGATTTGGCATTTCAGAATATCCCTCCCAAAGAGAACTACTATTCCCTAAAGCTAAGGCTCCGGTTTTTTCATTATTTATTTTTAAACCAGAACATTCACCAAAAGTCTTCAGCGTAACGAATAGGTTTGTGTATATGACCTACTATCTTTGATAAAACAGGTCATATCATCAGCGAAAAGGGAAAGAAGTTTAACAGGTTCATCTCGTATCGTAATGCCCTTAATGCCATCATCTTCTCTTATCTTTACAGCTAAGGTCTCCAAAGCTATTATAAACAGGTAGGGAGAGAGGGGATCTCCCTGCCTTACTCCCCTACTTAGTGCAGAAGGTCCTGTTGTAAAACCATTGTTCATTACACAGCTAGAGGCGTTGTTATATAAGACCCGTATCTACTGAATAAAAGAAGGACCAAAGTTAAATGCATGTAGTACTCTTAAAAGAAAATTTAAAGTGAGCGAGTCGAAAGCTTTTTCAAACTCTATAGCTACTAGAATCCCAGGTATATCTTTGTACCAAGCATATTCAATCACATCATCAATCGTTCTGACGGCATCAAAAATTGTTCTCCCCTTTACAAACGCGTTTTGATTAAAATGAATTACTTCAGGAAGCACCTTTTGCAAACGCTTTGCCAAAGTTTTAGACGCCAATTTAGCATCAACATTTACAAGAGATATTGGACGCCAATTCTTCACCAGCCTTTTGTCTTTTCCTTTCTTTTCAATTAAGGTGATGACGGACTGTTTCTGTGAATTCGATAGTTCACCGTATTCGAAAGCATAGTTCAAATTATCAACTACCAACTTTCCAAGCAAGGACCAAAAGGCTAAGTAAAATTCGGCTGTTAAACCATCGTTCCCTGGCGATTTGTTCTTTTAGATGGTCTGTAATACATTATGGCATTCATCATATCTAAGGATACCCTCGCAAACGTTCCCCTTCTCCTCGGCTAAAAATGGAACATCGGTGAGATCATTTAAAAACGAAGAAATAGTCTGCGTGTCTGCGGAATTTCTACCATCAGAGAGATTAGAATAATATAATTCCAATTCGTTCATAATCTTTTTTGGGTCGCTAGTTAATGCTCCATTAGTTGTTAAGATTTTGCGGACACTGCTTTTAGTTTTATTTGAATTTTCTAAATTCAAAAAATATTTGTTGTTTTTCTCACCCATTTCATACCAGGTTGCCCTAGAGCGAATGATTGTCCCTTGTGTAATGTAATCGTACAATTGATCATATTCTGTTTGAAGACACTCCAGTTCCTCGAGATTTCCACTATTTGGATCAATATCACATTTTTCGGTACATTCCTTCAGCTTATCTTCCACCTTTTGTAGTTTTGCTCTTCTTTCACGGGCTTTACTTTTACTGTTTCAATCTCCGCTGAAATTATCTCATCTTGCAAACTGTCGTTTATAAGCCAAAAATCTAGACGCCTCTGCACAACCGGAATTTTTTGACGCCAAGTAAATAGTGGTGTAGTGGGGTTCCTAATACGCCAGATATCAACCAAATCGAAATCGAGGTGCATATCTTCAAATAATTTTGCGGAGTCTTTCTTTCTGTTGTTTCCGCCCCGTCCATCTAAGTCAGGGTCAAGTATGACGTTAAAATCGCCTCCGACGATAATTGAGTAATCCTGTTCTGTTCTAGCAGCTTTCAAAATTTCTGATATTTCTTTAAAAAAAGTACATTGTTCACTACATTTGTTTGGAGCGTAAAGATTTAAAAGAAAGTATGGTGATTCCCGAATGGAAACCTCTAGGAAAACATAGCGACCTTGAGAATCAACCTTGATAGATCGTAGTTGAAAGTCTAAGTTATCCCTTACCGGTAGAAGTACACCTCGACTGTGGCTTCTACCGTGCGAAAAGAAAATGTTTCCTTTCCACTCTTTCCTCCAGATATTTTCCACTTCTTGAGTACTGAAGCTAATAACATCCTTCTCGATATGATATAAATCTTCAGACCATACGAAAGTCGAATCCTAAAATTATTAATTATCCGTCGCACTTGGTAATCAATTGATTGATTTTCATAGCCATTGTTCTTGATTATGTATGGATGTTGTTATAAGAAAATCGATGCTTGACACCTATTGGAACTGTCTAGGGGTTAAGTGTATGGAATATATTTATATTACGAGCAATTAAGAACTGACTTTCTTAAAGGTTCTTAAATGTTCATAAAACTGTTTGCTATTGTATGACGTGAATGCAGTAGTTCGTTACATTTTGCTTTCGGGGACTCCTCAAACCACGTCACATTCTTTTTCAGTGATGTTTTTTACAAACAAAGAGAGAGAATCTTGTATCAGATGGTTGCTGAATGGTACAGTTGGAACGAAACTAACATTTTCTTTTACATTAATTGTTTGTTAAATATTACCTTTCGTTAGTTTTTTTCTCGCTCACTGTTTTTGGGTATATATGCTATAAATGTATGATAAAATTATACGTTTACTGCAAAGGGGAGTATAATAGGAGCTAAGAATAAACTTACAGTAAACACATCATGTACAATGAACAGTGATTCTCGGACACCTCGTATGGGTGATTTAAGTTAATCTGCATTACAGTAATAGTCTCTTTTATTGTTGAGAAGTATTAAAGTTCAGAGAAGCCTTCTGGAGATTTATGACAACGGAAGTAGTTTCCTTTCACAATGGAACAAAATCCTTATTGAAGAGTTTGCCACTTTTTGACGATTAATTCCGCTAGGGTTATTTCATATAGTAAAAATTGCGATAACATGAATGGTGGAGAGAACTTTGTTGTTGTCTTGGCATGTGTATCATTGCACTAAGCTTTTTCATCTAGAAAACAAATATGGTATGTAACGCAGCGAACATGGAATATTAAAGATGAACTATGTTTAGAGGCCAGAAATAAATCAGTGACGAACACTGTCTTTCCTTAATTTACCTGAAGATCCTTCGCTAAAATCGTCGCATACGGTCTCCTGGAAGAGACAAAAAAGAACGAAGATGGGAAGCAGGAAGACGCTTGTTTTTCGTGGCTGCTCGAGGAATCCAAAATCCCGCAGACGTGACAGCGTTCTTGTGAAAATCATTGTTAACGATTGCTACTCCACGCTTTCCGATACTCTTTAATTGGCTCGATTTAGATTTTCACCAATTGATCTTTGCGATCTACCCTTGACGGTACGCAACAGGACAATCTTAAAATTGTTGGGTGTTCAACGAAAGATCGTGGAAGTGATAGCGGTTTATCATATAATCACAAACATGGAAAGTGAAAGAGGGCGTACAACATGCATCCGGTTTAACATAAATCATCGACTGAATTGGATAGTTATTTTAGTATACTGTTAATTTTATCATGATGTCATGTGATCGAAGTGGAAAACCGGTGAACGATACGCTGATGCATTTGGGTTTGCCCTTTTTGGTGAATAATTGATCTTTCTGAAATTATGTGGGGAAAACTCCCTGTCAAGGAAAGGGTCTTCTGCAATTTGTGCAAGCGGCGAGAAGTCTCATAGAAAATTGTTTAAGTGACATTATTTCTGAGTAATTTTTCATGTAGATCTTTTTTGTTGTAATTAACTCGTACTTCAAAGAATAACAAACTCCTATGTAATTTCTCATCGCACTTTTTTTGCCTGAAACTAGGGCCCAGTTGTTGAAAAGCTGGATAAAGCTATCCATGGGATAAATCACCATCCAGTGGATAAAGCGATCAGTTTCGCTAATACTTGTCCGCTGGTTAATGATTTATCCGTTGAATAGCGCTATCCAGCGTATGAGTATCCTGGTCCAGCATTATTTAATGATGGTTCGCTGATAGATTGCATCTCTACTTTTAACATGAACACCTGAATTTATCATTATTCCGTCTGTGTCAGTTTGTTATACTGACCTCATCGACCTCGGGGTACAATACACAGTATAACAACACACACTGAAGCACAAAATGGTCTTTCATAAAAAAAGAGAAAACTATAAAGTTACATCTTAAGCAGAGGAGGCAATGACCATTACCTAACCGATGGTTTCGGGGCTTTTCTTTTCTTATATTATCGGGTCAAAAGTCTTGGTTGAATTCTTCCGGCTCTTGGCATTGTACAGTACCCCAGTAGTAACTATAATGAGATCATACTCAAGACCCGGTCACTCATTGCACATCTACTGTTAATACAGTTTCATGTGCCGACACGAGGAAAAAAGACTGGTTCGACGTTGTCTTTAAGAACGTGCTCACGAACGATAGGATGAAATCTTTATTATTTGAGGAAAGTGTCACGCTCGCGATACTTTCCATTTATATGAAGAGAGGAAATCGAACTATATCTAAATGTAACCGGAAATTTTTTGCGTGTTTGTGTTTGTGTTTCTTTGGAGGAAGTTTATTTTTCGTGGAAAATCTTCATTTTTGGGGGGATCTGCGGCTTATTGATGACACCGAGTTTAAATTTCTGTTTCAGTTCGACTCTGATGTCACACGACAAAATGAAATTTATTCGAATGCCAGGTTTAGTAAAAATGGAACAACCCCTTCAGCACACATTATGGAAAAACAAAATGATTCGCCATGCCCATAGATGTGGTTAACATGGGTGTCCGAGGTGCAAGTCCTTGTATGGTCTAAACGGGGATGGCCGTTGAACAGGGTGTGGCTTTAAAGGTCTTTTGTTTGAGTTAGGGCCAAGGAAAACTGTCGGTATTAACGAGTTGTTCGTGTTAAGAGAGAGTCTGTAAAGTAGGGTCTACTGTATTTAGCGTCGACCGTCTTGAACGGGTTGCATTTCTGGAACGGAAGCCTTAAGCAACGAATGAACCTTAGCGGTATCCGGCCTACATGTGTGGCAGGCGAGGTTAACACGTGTGCCCGAGGTGCAAGTCCTTTTATGGTCTAAACAGGGTGTGGCTTTGAGGGTCTTTTTTTTAAACAGGGTGTATAATCTCATTACAGTCAAACCCCATTATTACGGACACTGAGGGGATAATAGAAAGTGTCCGTTTTAAGCGAGTTGACTTTTAGAGCAAATGTAAGAGCTAGGGCCAAGGAAAACTGTCTGTATTAAGAGGAAGTCTGTAAAGCGGGGTTCTACTGTTTTTAGTGTCGACCGTCTTGAACGGGTTGTATTTCTGGACTGGATGCCTTAAGCAACGAATGAACCTTAGCAGTACCCGGTCTACATGAGAGGTAGAAAAGCAGTTTTGAATACCTGTTTTTTTTATTAAGGTCAGACATGAATAAAGGGCATGAAAAAGGTCTCTTATCTCAAACAGTTGGTTAACAGAGAAGCTTAAAGCACGGTTTTTGGATAAAAAAACTTCCGTAAGTGCCCCCCTCCTCCCGGGGGCAATGTTGATACTATAATTCTAAATACGGCCGAAAGTTTGAAAAAAAAATCGCACCAATGATAAAATCGAACGGAAGAAAACTGTTTTAACATTAAAAAAAGAGGAAAAAATGACGGAATTCACCTCTAACGTGAAATACAATTGTTCACAAGAACACCTTGACATTCTTATGCCGTCAAAATGAAAATTTGCATTTATTGGCCCATTTGCAACTAGTCATTCACGTGGTCCAAAACCGCCATTCTGGAGAGCAAAGGATGCATTAGGACAAGAAAAACAAGGAGCTCACATCATTTAAAATGGAACTCTCTTTTGTTTGTCTTCTCCCAGTTCGTCCTTTGCTCTCCAGAATACAGAAATAATAAGTAGCAGCAATTTGCCTTTTATGAAGTAATCGCTCGATCCTCATGGGCATTCGAGAGAGGTGGAATCACTAACTTTTGAAACAAAGTGCTTTGTGTTTCTGTGGCTACTAAATTTGAATAGTAGAAGCAATGTTTCCAAAATAATTATGTAAAGCCGCTAGATCCAAACTAGCGACGATGGTAACGAAGAGAGGCTGATTTGGATATAAGTCGTATCCACGTAGAAGAGTATCACGAACCAGTTTTTGCACTTTCGTCACGTTTATTCTGCCACTTGTAATTTCCTTATTACACTTCTTAAACGTTGACTACTCCGAGCGAAAGGGTGCGTCAAAAAAACCTGGTCCATTTGAGCCCTGTCTTCATGTCTAATACCGCTTATACAACCTAAGATATCCTCAAGGGACTAAATAAACACTAGGTAATTTACGCGGTAACGCCGGCTGTGGGCGGAATGCAAAACACTCCCCCCCAGTGCGGAAAGCGAATTACTTAAGTAATTGGTTGAGCAACTTGTTTCTTTGCACTACTTAAGTTAGTTTTAACTAAGTTAAAAGCTGTTCCGGGAGAATTCCTTTCGTCAAGGCGTCAGCTGGATTTTGTTCAGATCTGATGTAGCTGAACTCTTGAGGGTCAATTGTCTCTTGGATTTCAGCAACTCGTACTGAGACAAACGGCTTAAATTTTCTCGGACTTGTTTTAAGCCATGACAGTACAACTTAGGAGTCGATCCAGAACACTTTCTTGCAGCTGCTAATCCGCGAATTCAAGGCTTCTCTACGTTCGGTATAACCTGAGAGCGCGTGAGCCAACCATTAACTCAAGCGTGGTATTGACTTTCTTTTAGGGGTAGACAAAGGCTTTTCACCATGAGCTGAACGCAGGTATAGCTGCCGTCATCAAGTTTCCAACGAAGAAACATGGCTGAACCATAAAGCCTTCTACTCCCGCGTCCCAGAATCCGTGTATTTCTGGCATTCCAACCGCATTATCTGGCTTTAACTTTCTTTTTGAATTCGTACTTGAGAAGTAGGTTGAGTGCTTGGACATTTCCTTTCCACTTTGTTTGAATCTCGTCTGGTGGGACTTCATCCCCAGGAGTAACCTGAACTCCACAGTTCTTGTAAATCAATTCTCTCATCTCAATGGTTGTTGAGTCACGAGGCCTGGGATCCCAAAGCTGGGCCAGGTAGGCAGGCAATTTCTCTTTGTAACAGGCTTCTCCTCTGCAACAATCTCCTGTTTTCTTAAAAGGTAATGGTGTCTCGAACCTTATTCCATTTGTGGCCAAGAAATCTACATGCTGTTCATCTGTCTGATCAACTTTCTTGTTGTTTGAATGCCACTGTTTGATTTAAACTGACCTTTGCTGAGAATGGCGTCGATTTCACTCGTGATCTGCTTGCTTTTTATCTTCATTTTCTCAAGACCCACCAATGTCATCAACGTAGACATGGGTTCGGAGTTCCTTCGCGGCTTCAGGTACTGGTGTTGAAGCTTTAGCTAAGGTATTGATTGCTCCGCAGCTATATCTGGGTCTGGTTTGTCTCCAAAGTTAAGTCTTTTCCACTGATGAACTTTTGGCTTCAACTTTCGTTTGTCCCTCCATAGGAATCTGTGGAAGACTTGGTCGTCTGGATGGATTAACTATTGATTTTGAACATTTCCTAACATCTCGGTATAAGCCGCACTTTGTCAAAAGCGCCAAAGCCATAAGCACGTTGGGCGGAAACTGTTTATGTAGCTTGGTCCCTTTTCGAGATGCTCGTTAAGCGACTTTCCTCTTGGACCCTTCGCTGAGGCATCAAACACTAGTCGAACTTGCGTTGTTCGGTCCAGGTGTGAACACGGCTTTGTAAAGGTAAGTACCATTCAGGCTGATCAAGGTTTACGTTTTCAAGAATTTCAACGACGAAATCTTGATCCACATGCGAACTTCACTTTCAACGATTTCAGAGACAATCTTTTTTTCTTTAAGGACTTTTCAGAAGAAATCATTCTTTTTATAGCCACAACATCGTAATTGCTCTCCTTTGGGGTTCCTCGCCATTCAAGGCATTCGCACTGGATTCTCCACACTCCAACAATCTGAGTCGATTCTGCAATTGATTTGATAAACTTGTTCTCATAAGATCATTGTCTCTGCATACAAAGTTCAGTTGGTCTTACTCCCAACATGTCTTGTGTAAGGGACTTTTCATATTCTAACATCGACAGTTCCTACATCAACCGAATTGATAGCCGAGGGACGTTCACCCTGCTTTGAAGCAAATGTTCCCATGACGTACCACCCGAAGCAATTTCTCTTTGCAATTGGTTCTCCGGATTTCCCTGCGATAACGTGCATATCATTAAAGGCGTCGGCAAAGTCTGTTCCAATTAACAAATCAACTGTTCCGCCCGATAGATGTAATTGCTCTGAAATTGATTTCAAGTGGGGATAGCTTTCCAATGTCGTTCTCGAGACTGTTCTAGCTGGGCTGCATGGCTTGTTTATTGCATAAGCTCGCATAGATTTCTGAATACTTGGTTCAGTGTTTGAAACAACAGTAATATCGAGAAACTCTGATGCTTCCGACTTCTTTTGGCCTCCTGCTAAATTCATCGTTAAATGCGTTTTGGGTCCGCGTATGCCAAGTTTCCTCACAACGTTCTTTGAAATGAAGCTCGTGTTTGAGCCGCTATCTAGCATTGCTAGGGCTTCCGTAAAATTTCCATTTTAGCCTCTAATCTTTACTTTTTGAGCTGGACAAATAGCGGAGACGCTTGTCTCGCCCTGAACATTGTGATTACTAGCTTCTTGACTTTCGTTTGCGGATGGAAGCGTTTCTGTGCTTTGGTCTGAATTTGCAAGAGGTACACGCTCATTGTGCAAGGAACGATGGTGGCGTCGCGTACACTTATCGCAAGTGGTACCGTCGGGCTTCTTACAAGAGTTTGTATGGTGGGCTCGTAGGCATTTTCGACAGCGATTGTTTTGTTTTACAATTTCCCATTTCTCATCAACTGTTGACTTTTGGTACATAGGACACGCGGAAAGTAAATGCTTTGTTTTACAACCAAGTGAGCATTTTTCATCCTGGTCTAGTCCACTGTCGTTAGCGTTATTGTCAGAACGGTGTTCTCTTGAATTATTGCGATAGTTAGTGTCTCTTTTCATGCGCGATCGTAAACTTGCTTCTTTGTTTAGCCAGTCAATCAAATTTAAAACATTTTCTTCTTTTCCCATGCGTAGCATTTCGCGGCCAAATTCATTGTTGTCGCTGGCATCCAATTTAGACAGAAGCTGTGACATAACAAAGGGTGCTTCCGATGTGCTGGTTACTGCGCAACCGTTTTGTTCCATGTTGTTCACGAAGCTTAATATTCTAGCACCGTAACGCGAGAGCGAGTTCGAGTCATTCTTTATTGGTTTGAGATTGGTAATTTCGTTTAGCAGTGTGTCCATTAATTTCCTTTGGTCTCCAAATTCAGTATCAAGAATTTTCCACGCCTGCTCGATTTTCTTGCTTGGCCGCACTTGATCGGACCAAAAAAAGTTTTTTGGTAACGCTTTTCTTAGTCTTTGCAGCTGTTCGTCTTCGTCCTGTTTGTACTTATACATCCAATAGTTAAATTCGCTCTTCCAAGTTGCGTAAGATTTTCTATTTCCCTCCCATGTTGGCACTGATAATTTCTCAAGTCCGTGATTAGCGGTCTTTTGCGAACCTAAAACGTCTGCCATTTTGGTTACTGCTGTGGTCATAGCTTCGAGCGCATCGTGCTTAAGCGGCGGTCCTTGGGAGTTGCACGCTTTTTGATAAGTGGCAAAAATTTCGCTGTATTTTAGAAAATCACCTCTGACTTTATCTCCGACCTGCTGATTAGCCTTAAGTTGTTCTTCTGTAGATCCCGTCTCAATTAGCCTATCCGTAATTGCTTCTTGCTGTTTTTTAACACTTCTGTACTTAATTTCCATTTCTTTGTAAACATTTTCAAGCGTACTTAATACGGGCTGAACTTTGTAAAGCACTTGAAATTCTTCTAAAAGTTCGTACAATGCGACTATTGTACTATCTCTTTTCGCAGTTAGTATTGATACGTCCACCTTAGGAGGCATTCTTGACTTAATAATTGTTTGTAACTAATCGCTAATTGCAAATGCGTATATTGCTGAATACTTGTAATTACTTTTGATAGATATGTAGATTTCTATTGTTATATTACGTAACTATTTCTATTGTTGTATTACGCAATTCAAACTTAACACAATTAAGCGGGAAATTAAGTGTTTTTTTTCCCTTTGCCTTTTCTCTACGATTGAATAAAATATTAAACTTTACAGTTCATCAGTTCTAATTTCCAATATTGGAATAAAGTCAATTCATCCTCATGTAATCAATGCATCCAAATGTCTTCATGAAACTCTCTTCTGAATTGCAAGTAAGGTGTCATCTAAGCAAGGTCCAGTTGCGTAACTTCTGACTTGAATTCAAATGATTCTCCGTATTTTCTGCGGTAATAAAGGAACTGTTTTACCTTTTTCCTACTGAATATGCTGCTTTTGTAGATTCCAGTCTGCTCCTGATTTTCTGAGGTCTTGAGCTTTCACTGCCACTTGTCTAGCTTCTGCTTGCGACTTTTCCTCGGCGGTTCGTCAGCTGCTGACTTCAAATCGGCGAGCTTGAGGCTTTGAACAGAACTTGTGACTTCTCTTCTTTGAACTTGTGCAGGTTTTTTTGACTGATTTGGATATAAGTCGTATCCACGTAGAAGAGTATCACGAACCAGTTTTTGCACTTTCGTCACGTTTATTCTGCCACTTGTAATTTCCTTATTACACTTCTTAAACGTTGACTACTCCGAGCGAAACGGAGCGTCAAAAAAACCTGGTCCATTTCAGCCCTGTCTTCATGTCTAATACCGCTTATACAACCTAAGATATCCTCAAGGGACTAAATAAACACTAGGTAATTTACGCGGTAACGCCGGCTGTGGGCGGAATGCAAAACAGAGGCACAATGTTTGTTTCTGCTTCTGTTGCTCTGGGATAAATACATACACCTTTCTCTGAAGTTCAAGACTACAGTATCGTGGACAGCGTCGATTTACGATGAATTTGCCAGGTAAACGTTGTCGTCTATTTTTGAATTAATTTCCATGTACCAGATATTTATTTTTGCAGTAGCGTACTTTTACGCTCAATGTGTTTGTGTCGGTGAACGTCATTAGAGAGATTTAAAGTGACTTTTATGCCAAACGGCAAACAAGTTAAGAATTTCTTAAAATAGAAAACGTACAGTTAACAAATTCGCGGTTGCCGTTTGCCGTTAACGTGACTCTAAATCTCTCTGTTATCTTGTGGCTAGAAAACGTCAGTTTCGGATGATTTGAAATACGTTAAAGGAATATCGAAGTTCTTGTCGATTGACGGAAAATATCAAGATACAGATGTGGTAAGTAAAAGAATGTAAATAAACAATATCTTATGCAATTTACTCATCCGATCACAGCAACCATGCACTACTTATAACTTCAATTAAAGTAATTTATGCTTGTTTCGCTGGTTTAAGGTAGCTTTAACCTATTTTCATGTTTTTTTTGCAACATTGCGTCTAGAGACGTGGCTTAACGCTTCTTATTTATCCCTCATGTTCTGTTTGTTCATAAAATAAAGTTCAAAATTTCAGTTAGAAGCTCATCATTTGACTTTTGAGGTGGGGTATGGGTGATTTGGTTTGGGTAAGAATTTTTTTCCCGCAAAGTAACCTCCGGAGATAATTTTTTCCCCTATATACCCCGAATTCCTCCCCCCTCCTTATTATTATTTTTTTCGCTTGCTGTCTTTTTCGCCCACGAAAACCTGTCGAAACGCCTGGGAAGAGCCAATATATTGCAAGAATCACCAGTACTGGTCTAATCCCAGGGATCGAGCTCGCGACTTCCTACCTTGCAGTCAAGTTCGCTAGTGACCCACATAGACCTGTTAACGGTTAACTATATCAAGAAATCAGAATAAAAAACAACTTTCTCGCGACATCAGCTGCTCGTGAGCAATCAATATGGGCGAATAATTCAGCACATCGAGTCTGCCCTGTGGTTAAATTGAAAACCATTCACCTTACTTTAGGACTGAATTCCCATTCATTGGCAATGGTTGGAAACTTTACTTTACAATAACAGCAAAACATAGGTACTTTCCAAGCGATGGAAATTTTAGTGGTCATCGACTATTTAATGCAGGAGCTTAGCAATGATCAAAGAATTACCAATTTGTTTACTAAGGGTTGTCATCACCGAAATTTAAGCGTTATTTTCATTCTTCAAAATATTTTTCACCGGGGAAAAGAACTGAGAGACATGAGATTGAATTGCCATTATTTGGTGATGTTCAAGTCTCCGCGAGATAGCAGTCAAGTCAGTCACTTGGCGAAACAGTTGTTTCCCGGTCATGTCAAATACATGCAAGAAGCGTTTCAGGATGCGACAAAACGCCCTTATGGCTACCTGTTATGCGACCTCAAACCGGAAACACCTACCGACTTCCGGTTGCGCACAAACATTTTCCCTGGGGAGACTCAGCTCGTCTATGTCAGAAAGGTATAAAAAAGCTCCGTCGTAGTGATTGATATCAGTTGCGTATGGCCCAGCGACTGAGAAAGAATCACGATTTTCGTAAGCTCGTCGTCAAGTGTACCCCAGCCCAACGTAAAGCAATTTTGAAACCAGCCGACGACGCTTTAGTAAAGACCATTTGTGAGTGTGTATTCAACGTACTTAAAGAAACAGTCCCTGTCAGTAAACCGGAAAGAGAAAAATTCTTAAGCACAAGAAAGCCTTGACTGCTCTAGCTGAAAACAGTACCCCGCTAAACAAGAAAAAGCAAATCTTGGTACAACACGGAGGAAACTTTTTAAGTGTTTTGCTACCTCCCGTTCTTCGAGTGCTGAGCTCGCTTCTTAGTTGATGAATCATACAAGACGCATGGTTCTCGTTCCTGAAAACACTCTGGAACGATTGCAGCAACGCCAGCAGATATTAGCACCACCTGTAACACAAACTCTGAAAAATCTGGATAGCCAAATGGGGGAAATTTTAGAAAGTAAACAACTTGGTGATGAGGAAAAGGCGAAGCTTTACAATCAGGTGTTGCAACGGTACTTGACTTGTTACGATCAGCGGAAAGGCCAGCCTCTCCATGTGAAGTTAACGACCCCTAAAACAACAGAAACCCCCAAACCAGTTGAGAACGCAGAATCTACAGAGGAAGCTTCTCCAGATAATTCTCGGAGAGGAGAGCTGTTGTATGAAAACAAACCAATCCCCGGTTCTCATGTGGTCGACCTAGTCAACGACACATTGCGTCACCGAAAAGGATCTGAACCAGTGGGGTGGTCCGTGTTTGCGAGGAGCCTGGCGCGAATGAATGTCCCCGAAAACTTGGTTCGTAATCCCCAACGTCAGAGTGCCATAAGAGAGTTTAAAGCAAGAGTGAGAGAGGAGACCCCAGAAAGTCCTTCGCGTTGGCTACCCACCCCACCTGTGACGGATCTACTGTGCTCGACTTGCCGCTATTCTATTCATTGTCACTGTTTTTCATAGTCCTACTACAACCACTATTACGTCTTTTAATTTATATTTATGTATATATGTATACATGTTCATTTATAGTACATATTTTGCCCCCCTTCGTCGATTTATATATTATTCATTACGTGTTTATAGCCTATTCTACTGTAAATATTGTCTCTTTTGTGTATATATATATATATTTATAAATTTATTTGTTTTAGTCTTCTAAATTTATTTATCTATTTATCTATTTTTTTGAGGGCCGTTGGTTAGAAAACTGTAACAGGTTATTGCGCTTCCCTCTTTAAATAAAGTTATTGTATTGTATTGTATTGACGTTATCTTCTGTCAAAAAGCAGAGGCGCAGAGCCGAGAGTCCTCGCCCTCAGGCTGTTCGATGGTTACGATTATAAATCATGACAAGAGACTTTTTTTATTGTGAAACACAAAACTTTATTTTGTAATTCAATAAAATGTGTTGAAAAGAAGTTACATGGTGTCTTTTTACTGAACTTAGTGTTGTGCTTTTGCTCTTTGCTTGTTTACATCAGTGCGATATTTCGGAAAACCTATAGGAAAATGTTTTTCAATAAATCGTTTTACGAGACTGTCATTTTTACTTGTGTTTTTAGAAAAACGGTGGACAATAGTACTCATACTTATATGCCGACTACGATATAAAGAAAAATGCAAACAGTAATGTCCGCAGACTTTTGAAGAGATGCTTTGTAATGTCACAGTATTAAAAGTCCACTGGTCAGAATTGTTGTTTAAAAAGGTAGTAAATGTTCCTGAATATTTGCTGGGTGGTGATCCGTAAGAATCGAAAAATTCTCCCTCTTGCTCCTTGGTGAAATAAAACCCCACCCAATGCGAACCTGGCTTGTCACTCGTATCCACATTGGCGATAAACAGGGCTTGGTAATGTAAAACACTTAGGGGCGGCTGGTCTGAGGGATACTCGCCTTGAAACAAACCTCGTGTAAAATTATCCTTTCTCAAAGTAAGGGTCAGTTGAATAGTGTCCATTTTTAGTTTGTGTAGTCGAACAACATGTTGCGGTTCCCGTCAATTTCAATCACGTTTTCGAATTCAGCGTACACGATAAGGTTAACCGTATTGGCCAGTGGTTCCTTGAAATGAAGCTCAGTGCGCAGGTTACCTTGCTTTATTAGCTCAAAATGGTCACCTGAGCAGTGATCTGGGGACAAGTCAAAGCAGAATGCTATGTAACCAGAGCCATAATCGCTTCTACTGATTTGATTACCCGCATCTTGGGATAGCTTTCCAGTGCCTGAGAACAGGCTTTGATAGCCCCCTATTACATTTTGACCTCTAGCTTCGTCAAAATTCAAGAACAGGGGTTTCCGAGGAATTTGCTCTCCGTCCACATAGACACCCACTTGAGTTAGATTGTGGTGTTTGAAGTTGAACGGGTTGGTACTGTAAGTTCCATTATATGCCTGAGTATCCACTAAGACCAGCACGATTCGTTTAGGAATGTGACCCAAAAAGATGTTGTAGGGGTTAAAACTGCTAAATCCTCTTAGAATAGACAGCACTTTACAATCGATTCGGCGAACCGGGTACTTGGCGCTGGAGTGTTTTAGTGCAGCCGCATGGCCCAGTATAATAGAGGAGGCCAATTTCACCCGGCGAACGAACAAGATGGCTTCTGTGATTACCACCTTGAAAGTTGGAGCGGCTGCTGATGACATTAGACAAAACGAATTCTTGGCTCGGTTCAGTTTGATTCTTAAATTCACTCCATTTAGCATCAACCCGTCTTGAAAGAAAATGTCGCTATGAATGGGCCCCATCATATCCACAATATGACTTTCTTTAGTGAAATCATAGCGAACCTTTAACCCCTTGTTTGCAGCATCGTCTGTAGCCACAGGGTTGGCAACATCCATTTTTCCAGGGATATCTTAGTAAAACATGGCCATAGAAAGTTGCCTTTTTTTTTGCTTCTTCTCCGTAGTTTAGCAAGGTTTCGATCATGGCGCGATAAGGGTAGGTTATTGGTGGATGGAGAGATCAATCGCTCGTTCAAGGAACGTCCACTTGGGAAAACAGGGAATGTAAAAACAGGTTCACGGGACCTACTTGTGTATCGGCATATATGGCGGTTCCATTTGCTTTTGTAATCTTGGCTTTAACAAATAACTGAGTACATGCCAAGTCCAAATACTCATCTCCGGTTCCCGAAACATGAAATTCGATCGGACCACTGTCCATGATGTTACTGATGGGGTGGTACTCGATCCATTGCCCTTTGGAGACTTGTGATTTGGAGTGTGGAGTTTTTTCATCTTTAAAAGTACTGAGGTGCACTTTGACGAAAATGAAGTGTTAACAACACTCTCCCAAACTCAAATGGTACAGACTCCCCTGTGTCTGTCTTTATATTGACTTCGACAGTTTCAAATTGCTTTCTGTTGACAGGTAAATATTGGGGGCGCAAAAATGATTTACTGACTCGCTCCCCGACCTCTCCTTCTACAGGAACAATTCGAAGCAAAGGTACCAATGCATCTCCAACATATTGTGACTGAATAAGATCACAATAAATGAAAAGGTCGTGAAAGCCGTATTCCAAATCCACTTGTCTTTCAGCGGCAGAGGTATTAGAAATAATTTCTTCTGGTGAAAATCCCAGCAGGTATCCAATGTTACCAAAGAAAAGTTCTACGTTATTTTGTAGGTGAACAGTCACCTTTCTAGTGAACGTATTGTAGGAAAATGTCACATCGTCATTGAAACGCTTTACATTCTCGATCAGCCCTTTCATCTTTGATAAGATATCTCCAATGGAAGAATAATGACCTGGTGGTACAATTAGGGCCTCCCATACTCCGGACAATTCTTGGTTCCGAAGGTAGAATCGATTACCAAAATTTTCTTCGACATTATTCCAGCTGTGAGGATAGTGAATTTCCATTAATGCTACTTCCCAGTCCCCCTTCATGCTAACGGTTTGAGGTAAACCAACATGGTACTCCGTTAATGTGTTGCTGGGAAACTTATCGAGGCTGCTATTGCTAGGGAGATGCAGATAAAACTGTTTTACCTCCATCGTACCCTGTGTTGAAATGAACTTTTTAATCTGGGTATTCTTAATTTATTAGAAACCACACACCATTCATTTTATTGTTTCATTTTCTTTTATTCACTACACAAAAAATGCATAAATTACAATCACCAGATACTCTATTACCAGATACTCTACTACTCCTTTACGCTTTCTCTTCCGCAAAATCTTCTCGACGCGGTACACATCATCGTTTCTAATAATTTTCTGTAATTCGGGTTCATAAAATGTTCCATCTAAGATTTCACCTACATCATCTTTTAGTTTATAAACGGGTACTTGACGAGCCATTCGCTTGTAAACAGTAAAAATTTCTTCCGTAAAATTAGGTAAGTAAGATTTTCAAACATTCTCTTCACTTTGCTAATCCTGACGCGATCTCCCACTTGAAATTTATATCGCACAGGCTTGTGAACATCATCCCCATACAAAGTAACCCACACTTTAGCTTCACTCGCTTTAGTCACCTGACTCGGTTTCATTTTAATACTTCGGTGGTAAGTGTTATTGTAAGAAGCTACTAACTGGGGTAACACATTGATATAGGTGAGAGTGTTTTTGGCCGTGAAATATTTGTACATCTTATTCTTAAATGTTCGGTTAAAACGCTCAACCACTGAGGCTTTGAGCCCAGAGTTAACAGTGAAAAAGGCAATGTTGTTGTCACGCAGAAATTTCTGGAACACGAGATTCTTGAACTCTGTTCCTTGATCCGTTTGCAGTTTGATGGGTTTGCGACCAGTGGAAATGATCTTTTGAAAAGCTTTGACCAGTTCTTGACCTTGTTTTTTCTTCAAAGGTAACACAAACACATACTTGCTGAAGATATCTATACAAGTCAGTAAGTATTCATAGCCCTTGTTGTAGCGACTGAGATTTTGGAGGTCGACCAAATCGGCTTGAAATTCCTCATCTATTCCAAAAACGATGACTCGACTTCTCTTGTAGTGTCTTCGTGCGGGCTTGTGAAGAGTATACACATCTTGCTGACTCAACCAACCTCGGACTTGCTTATGCGATATCTTGTTCTTTCCTTTCTCTTTGACTGCTCTGTAAACAGCATCTAAACCACCGAAACTTGCGGGTTGACTTGGGTCGAGATAAATGCTGGTCAGTGTTTTCTCCATCACAGAGCTCGGAATTTTGTACGATAACCCTTCCCCCACAGCAGGCTAATAAGCAACGAATGCGGCTAAAGATGTATTCGAATCCAAAAGTGGACGAAGGAGGACAGCATCCCATCACTGGTGATCGCTATGATGGTTCAAACTCGAATGATTTCTTTTCTCTTGGTGATTAGTTATATAGCTACCCCCGAATCTGGGTGAGAGTGGGCACGAGAAAATTACGTAAGAGTTCCCATTCCTCCCCGGTTAATCCTAGGTTATCCGCGAAGTCAAAAACACTACCAATCGTCTCCAGTTTAGTTTTGAAAAGACTTCTGAGTGGAGTTCTTTTAACTTTTCTGACCCGAACCTGGTAGATCTTTCAATTTTTGTTTAAGCTTGTCTATCTCACTTGAAGATACTTTGGCTTGTGCGCGATAAAGAGAAAAGTCAACTCGCGGCAAAGACAGAAAAAGCCCCATCACAAACAGACACCGTCTCAAAATGTAGTCATATTTCCATCTCGGATCCATGATCACAAATGACTAATTCAACTGTATGCACTCTCATTAAATTATTTTATAGAAAAATTGTTTTGGGTTCAGCCTCTTTGTCATACACACGCATCGCATTGGTATTTTGTAATTTTAAAAATTGACGCCAATATTTTCGTTCTATCTCCGATAACTCGTGTACTTCAGTTAAATGATTTGCTAATCGAACTAAAAAATTAGAGTGACATCCCGGTATCGGGTAATGACGACAGACACGCTTACCCATGATGTTCACGGTACAAAGGTTCGATATCAACTGAATAAAACCGCTAATGACACGAAGTTTATGACTATTGAGAACGGGCCACAAGGGCCTTGTATATCACTGTGTTTTTCCTTTACGCGGGTGATTCAATCGCGCGTGGTGCACGCACGCGCGCGCGGCTAGACAGACAACAAACCGTGCTTAGTATATTAAACCATATTTATTTACAAACTATGAACAAATGACATTTTTTTACACATAAAGGAAAACTCTTTATATACAATGCGATACAGAGAAAAGTAGACTCGAAGCAAAGACAGAGAAAGCCCCATCTTGACAAAGACAGAGACAAACACACACCGACTCAAAATTTTAGTCATCATAAACAAATTTTAGTACTTTTAGAAACGAAGCTTATTTTGAATGTCAAGGTCCATTGGTGTTCTTCTTTTCTCACGACTCTATCAGGGCATTCTATTGTTTCTTGTTGATCACTGAAATCCTTCCATCTGAGCCCATTTGGTCGGTAGTATAGAGCGTATAAAATACGGCTTGGAAGATCATCACCCTGCTGGACAACATCAAGTTCCAGAGAAGCGAGGTAAATACTGATCCACGACAATATTTGGCAGTACGCTTCCCATTATATATCTAGTTTGAAACCGAGAGCACTGCATATACTTTCGGTAGCGTTCAGCATAGAATTCAGGTCAATTTGTTCCACCACTTCATCGTGGTAATACATCCATGTGTCATCATTATCCATCATGAGGCAAGAATGTTGGTTTTGACTTGGGTGTTGAATAGCACAACCGTCGCAGTGATTCAGCTTTTCTTGTTGGATGAGTTTGTCAACCAAAGCCGCATAAGTCAGTTAGAATACATGTCCAATAAAACTGGCTATCCTTTGACGCTGGACAATGTTTCAGAGAATATTGGTGAGAGTTAAGACTTTTTTCCGAGCAAACTGAACTTTTAAGAATGAAATCATGATTGAACGGAGAGCGCGTTTGTATGTTGAACACATAATAGATTGTTTACTATCCAATCAGGGTTAAAAGAGCCCTCTTTTCTGAATCGTCTTGTAGTTTTTGCGACAGTTATTTCATAGGTTTGTCTTTAGACAGAGAATTACAATTTCGCAAAGAAATACAACATGTTCTAGATGATTGAGAAACAACATTCCTTGACTTTTTTCGAAGTGGGAACTCAATGTCTTAATCGCTTATTTTTTAAAAAAGACAAAAGCTAAACGGGTAACTCTTAATTGCATTTTTTTTACACAATACCTGGTCTTAAGTTGGACATTTTTGCATAATCATCCCGCGGCGTGTTTGTCCAAAGACAACTATGGCTGAGAAGTAATTCTCTTATGGCGGTCCGTTTTCCAACAAACTACAGCTACAACGGATTGCATTTCAAGAAGTATGGTGTGAGGAAATGACGGAGAAGCCGATGATGAATCCCACGTTGATCAGCAGAACTGCCATTTATCCTGATGCCTTATTGGAAATGAACAATTTGTTCAAGCGAAGATTACAACAAAATATGTTTTTTGTATCATCTGAAAATGGAGCTACCTACGAACCAAGATCTAAGTTACAGAGACAATTTGGTAGACTACACGTTAAGTGATGATGTAACCATTAGCCATTACTTTATTACTATTTCTTGTCTACAATGATATACTCTTTGAGGTGAATAAAATAATTTGCGATGAAATGCTGTGTTGTGTCACTGCTGGTTAGTTGGGGTCTGCTAATTTTAGAATGATGTCAATGCAATTGACGTCATTCTAAAAATAGCCCGACCAGGTATACTACTGATATTGATCTCGACGTTTCGATCGCATACTGCAGGTCTTCATCAGGCGATAGTGTCGATTTACTGAGTCGGATTATTTGTAACGCCGTGGTCGTTAGTGATTGGTGTATCACGAACCTAGCTCATGGTTGGTGGGTTTCGATCCAAAGCATTGTTGGTATTGTCAGAGGAGGAAACTGATCCCTTGGAGGTTCGCTGTGGCAGCGATCGGCTGTACTTATGTTGTTATGCAGCGAACGACCAGAAATACATACTAAAATGGCCTTAAGACTAGTTCTTCAAAACAGATTATAGGGCTAGAACACCTAGAAATGGTTTTACCATCAGCTTATTTTAGACATGTGCAAGGAGTAAATATTTGTCTGACTCTCAACTTCAAAATTGACCGTAGAAGGTCAAATTTCTGCATCCTTTTTACAGACTTTGAAAAGTTGTCGTGTCGCTCGTAGTGATTTGCTCAAAAACATTTTTATAGCGGTCTGTAGATCATTCTTTTAACATTGAACCATCAGAAGCTTAGCTGATTTGAAAGTTTCGCACGTGGTGAAAAGTAACTTTTCCCTCAACACTTCGTCGCTCTTATCTTTACGACTGCACATTCCTCGACAGGTTAGTCATTTTTAAGAACTGTTTAGATTTGTATTTACGTTACGTTGCTAGCCAAAGTGTTTTTCTGTATATGAAACAATGAAAACGAATGTAAGTTGTAAAATTCTTTGTAACCTCTTTGGATTAATTGTCTTCAATAGATCGCTAATAAATCAAATTCACAACGTGGTAGTATATAAACTTTTCTTTACAAATAAATGATTTTTTACCAATGTTTTTACGCATCGCTTTTGACCGACAGAAGAAGCAAACGTTGACGTAATAGGCCATTTCCGAGTTCCAAAAGATTTTTTCAGTCAAAACGGGGCTAAGTGCAAAACCGTTTTTCTGAAAATTTTAAAATTAGTTGCATGAGTATTGTTTTTATCAATGACTTCGCATTTAGCCTCGCTTTCAAACACAGGATATAATAGGGGCAACTCGGGAATGGTCGATTGAGTCCTAGTTCGTCTACTGCAACGTGTTCACGTAGTTTGAACCTTACAGTTTGCTATCTACGCACTATGTTTCTATCTTTTCTTTAAATATATCATTGAAGATTTGGCCCACTAACGAATCACTTTACTTCTCTAAGAACCAACACTCGGCTGTGGACAAAACAGTGATGATTGAAAAGAAAAATGGCGAGTAAAATGAACTGAGGCAAATTGTGTTTTTTGCGTTTTTATCTTTCATTTATTTGCTTTTTTATTATTCACTTATCTATTTTCATTTTATTTTATATTACTTCACTTTTTACCCTTGACTTTTTCAGTCAATCATGTTCGTACGGTGCGTGCAGGTTGCCACGCCCCTGACTGCACTCTAGTTATAAATCGAGCTTCGTCAAGCGGATCAAGGTTGTTTTAAAGCTCTTACTTTTTCGCTTTCTTAACAGTTGTTTACTGTGAACAATGTTAAGAAGAACGATTGATAATACCAGAACCTGAAATTAGAAAGAAAGCAAACTAGAAAAGGTTCCATATCACTGAGATGTTCTCTCATTCTTCGTTTTCCGGATATTCTTGCTGGTTAAGTCACATTTATCACATACATATTTCTAGCTCATCATTTTGTTTCATTTCAGTTGTTATCCTCCTCATAGTTGTTCAACGACAGAAAAGTACAATCTACAAATGAACTTCTCATGTCATTTGCTATGGTTTATTGGGGTGGCATTGCTGGTGTGGTATCCTAAAGGTGGGTGTTCTTTAAATCAGTGCAGAAAATGCTAGTTTGGAATATAGATTGTGTTTATCAGCATTGTATGAGAATGTACATATGGCATTACTTGGCTTAATACCCTTTAAATTAGGCGAATTATGTTCAGGAATGACTTTTTTTCCAGATGATGTTTAAGCTGTAATAGATTACATCAAAGAGGAATAACTAAGTCGAGCTCTTTGACTGCTTGATATGCGTACACTTATACTTTGACAAAATTTCACTGTTTTCAGTTGTGGTATTCGCATTGTGTCATTTTGAACTGCAAGGTACAAATGGGATCATCAGCGTCGATTCAACGAACTTTACCGAGTGTTCCTGGAGGATAACGTCTCCTCCTCACCACAAAGTACGCTTGACATTCAGCATTCTTAACGCGTATGATGGACAGTTACGAGTTTACGATGGACAGAGTGAAAACGTAACTTTACTTGGAGAATTCTCCATGATTACACGAACATTTTCGGTGCAGTCAACTGCTCGGTTCATGTTTGTTACATTAAAAATGTATCGCTGGGTTTTTTGTTTATTAGAGGGGAAATACATTGCCAGCACTAAAATAGGTTAGTGTTCAATGATTATTTTCAAAATAATTTTTAAAGTAATTTTTGATATAGTTTTTAATT